ATTATGTGAATGTGGTTTCAGTTGCTCTCCAAATATCTTACTGAACTTTCAATGTTGCATATAAAGGAAGCAATTTACGGCTTCCTTTTTGAGTGTCTAAATTGCCAGTGTCGTTACTTTTGTGCTTAGGAGACATTATGAAGTAAAATGAGGATTACTTGAACATAAGTACTGCCATAACCATCTAATGACCAAGATGGCTACTAAGTGACTAATGGATAGGGAGTAACATATAAAGCACGGATATGATGGACAAAGGGACGATTCATGTGGTGGGCAGGACAGAACAAGATTTTATGCTACGTAGAATAATGCACAATTTAAAACTTACAAATTGTTAATTTCTGGAATTTTCATTTAATATTTTTAGACCACTGTTGATGGCCAGTAACTGAAACTGTGAAAAGCAAAATCACAGATAGGAGGGGACTATTGGTCAGGCATGATGGCACATGTCTATAATCCTAGCTACTGGGGAAGGTTGAGGCAAGAGAATCACAAGTTCAAAGCCAGCTTTAGCAACTTAGCAAGACCCTGTCTAAAAAAAAAAAAAAAAGAAAAGAAAAGAAAAGGCGAGCGGGGGGGATGTGGAGAGGAGGGAACAGCAGAAGACTGGTAAATGGTAATTATCATAGCAGATAAAACTTTAAACCTAAAACCCTTTCAATCAGCTTTTTAGTATCTTATTCCTCCCTCTATTTCTATTATTTTGTTCTGCATTACTAGGGAATGAACCCAGGGGTGCTCTACTACTGAACTACATCCTCAGCTTTTAAAACTTTTATTTTGAGACAGTGTCTCATTAAGATGCCCAGGCTGGTCTCAAACTTGAGATCCTTCTGCCTCAGTCTCCTCAGTAGATGGGATTATTGGTGTGCTCCATAACACCTGGCAGTACATCGTTTTTGTTTTTTGGTACTGGGGATTGAACTTAGAGGCACTCAACCACTGAGCAACATCCCCAGCCCTATTTTTTATTTTATTTAGAGACAGAAGCTCACTGAGTTGCTTAGCACCTCGTTTGCTTTGAACTCATCATCCTCCTATCTCAGCCTCCAGAGCCACTGGGATTACAGGCATGCGCCACCATGCCCAGCAGTACATCATTTATTTTTTTAAACTTTTTTTGTAGTAGTAGATGCACAGCATACCTTTATTTTTTTTATGGGTTGCCAAGGATCGAACCCAGTGCCTCACACATACTAGGCAAGCACTCTGACTGGGGATGTTGCCCAGCACCACTGAGCCCTAGCCCCAGCCCAGCAGTACATATTTTTAAATGAAGAAAAGTTAGTGAAGGGTCCCTAGGCATTTGAGGGAAGGTCATAAACATGAAAATCATCAAAAAGCAGTAAAATAAAACAGACAATATTAAGAACAGAATAAAACTAACAAAATGATACGGTACCCATGGAATAGGAACAGGAAATTTTAATGGGGATGTGATAGCGAAGCAACAACTATACTCAACAAATAAGTGACAAGAAGTGGAAACAATGGAAAATCAAGAAGTGGAAACAGAGCTCATAGATGAAAAGATACAGTGATATCAATCAATTGCAAAATGCAAATTCACATTTGAAATTTGAACACTGATTAGATAAAATTATGTTAATTTTTAAGGTATAATACCAGAGTTCTATTATTTCTTTTAGGAGTATCTTTTAAATATACATACAAAAATATTTATGGAAGAAATTACACAGTATCTGGGATGTGCTTCAAAATATGAAGAGTGGAAGGGAGAGAACATAGATAAAAAAGATCAACCATGAGTTGATAAATGTTGAAGCAGAGGAAGTGTAGGTATATGGTGATTCACTAAATTGTGTTTTTTTCTTAAATATTTGACACTTTCATAATAAAAAAGCTTCTTTTAAAAAATAGAATAATTAGCCAGGTGTGTGATGTACACCTGTAATTCCAGTGGCTTGGGAGGCTGAAACAGGAAGATCGTGAATTCAAAGCTAGCCTCAGCAACTTAGCAAGACCCTGTATCTAAATAAAATATAAAAAAGGACTATTTCCTAGTTAACTGCCCCTGGGTTCAATCCCTAGTACTCCCCCAAAACAGAATAATCAGAAAACAAGGCAAATCCAGGAAATTATAAATGATGGTAGAAATAAAAAGGCCAATAGAAAGGTTGAAAGACAGTTGATGAAATTTACCAGAAAAGAGAAAAAAAAAAAAACCCAGAAAATAGAAAAGGGAAAAGTACAGAAAATTAAGGAATGATCCAGGAGGTACAATATATTCAAAGAGCAGAAATTCCAAAATGAAGAATAAATTTCAATATAAAAGTTTCTAGATTGAAAGAAATAAGTTTTTAGATTTAAAAAGCGCTAAACTCACACTAAAGAATACTATTATATAAATTGTAGAATACCAGGGATAAAAAATAGATTCTAAAGATTTTTAAAGAGAGGGGCTGAGGATGTGGCTCAAGCGGTGGCGCGCTCGTCTGGCATGCGTGCGGCCCGGGTTCCATCCTCAGCACCACATACAAACAAAGATGTTGTGTCTGCCGAAAAGCTAAAAAATAAATATTAAAAAAAATTCTCTCTCTCTCTCTCTCTCTACTCTCTCTTTAAAAAAAAAAAAAGATTTTTAAAGAGGAAAAGCTGCTTACACACAAAGGGCCGCGAAACAGAATGGCAATAAACTTCATCACTGCAATGCAGGAAACAATGCCCTCAAATATCTGAGAGAAAATTCTTTCTGACCTAGAATTGTACACCTAGTGAAATCATAAATTGAGGAAGTAAAATAAAGGCATCTTCCAACATGTAAGGTCACAAAAGTTTTACCATGCATTCATCCTTTTTTAATTGGCCAATAGAAGACGTGTTAGACCAAAACTAAAGTAAACTGAGAAAAAGGAAGATACAGAATTCAGGAAAAGAGAATATAATAAAGATGTGAAGGAAATGTGAGTCCAAAAAATTATTTGGGGGACTGGGGCTGTGGTTCAGTGGTAGCATACTTGCTTGGCATGTGTTAGGCACTGGGTTCAATTCTCAGCACCACATATAAATAAATAAAATAAAGGTCTATCAACAACCCCCATGCCCCCCCCCCCACACTATTTGGTTTAGCTAGGAACAATTTGTAAAGCTATAATAATAAAAACATTACTGGGAAGATGTGAAAGGAAATTGTACATGGGTGGCTGTATGAGAACTAAATCCTAATCTTCCATGTTAGAAAGTCAATAGATGATGTCTCCAAGTGAAAACCACCAAAGAATTACAATATAGGAGTGTTAAAGGTAAAGAAAGGCATGAAGCAGCAGTTAAAAAATGAAAGTCATTGTCTGTGATGGGTTAAGAAGCTAGATAGGTAGGAGGGTGGGTGAAGCACTGCTATCCTAAGTGATAAGATTATACCAAAATCACTTTGAATAAAAATGAAAGTTATATTTAAGAACATATTCAGAATTATCCAGCAGCCTACAATTCCATAAGTCAAATAAGTCAAATATTTTAACCTTTTTAGGATCCCTTTTATAGTTTAGATCTATGTAATTTTACTTGTAGTAAGCCTAATTTGTTAAAAAAAATTTCAAATGCATATTTTCATTTAGTTTTTGTAATTCAAGTATTTCATTTTAATACTATCCTATTAAGTGATACACTGTAATTTTCTAAATATTCCTCTATTTCAATGTTTGTGATTTTTAAATTCTTACTATTTTAAATAATTTTGCAATGAGAATTTTCAAGCATATGAGTTATTTTTCTGAGTTTATTTCCTCAGGTTAATTTAGCAACATTAATGGCTCTTTGTACTTGTTGCAAAACTGCTTTCCAATTTATACTGTGATTATGAAATATAATAACTTATTATTTTAACATCCATTTCTTTGATTTTTTTGGCAAAATGGAACATTTCCAAAGATTACTTATCTCCTTGGGTAACAAACAGTATTTAGAAATAACTTCGAACTCCATCATTACTTTTACATTTATTAATTGGAATTCTACTGCAAGAAAGAGCTTTTCCTTTTCATTAATTAACTTATGGATTAACTCATGGATTCTTATTTTATTCAAAGGGTTACAATGTATCACTATCATTCATTATTGCAGTGCTCAAATTGTCCCATATTTGGTAAGTAGGAGTCCCCCTGACTCCTTGTATTAATATTTTGTAACATTCAAGGCAAATATTTTCTTCTTTCTTATTTATATTATTTTTGATTACATGACAGGTTAAAAATTTTTGTATTGCATCAAGTAAGTGGCAATGCCATGAGTGTAGACTCTGTATAGGAAAGAAAATACACTCAGGAAGGGAACAGGAGAGTGAAAGGAAAGGATAGTGTTTATTAAAAAATGTGAAATTTCTTAGTATGATATTATCCACAGTGGGTGACTAATTGGGAATAACATCAGAAATAATAAATGATCATTTCAAATATTCCTTCCCAGATGGTTTAAAGCTTTATAAATCACACGTAAATTATATAGAAAAAAATGACATTAGGAATCAATACATAAAACATTTAGAGATTATGTGGTAAAATAAGCAATACCACTAAATAAAAAGAAGATTTAATTATTTTTAAATCTACATATAATATCTTCTAAATGATTCTTTACCTTTAAGAGTCAGATCCTGCATGAGATCTCTCAAAAATAAAAAGTTAGAGACTAAAAGTCAAGATGATAAAGTCTCTTAGAATAAAAGCTATTTTGCCTCCAATAAATCAGTACTTTTTCAAAACATTAATAATTACATTAATTTGAAGATGAATCAAACCCACTAAAGCTCAAGCTGAATTTATAATACTTCTTTTATAACGTGGCAATTTCTGTTCTCACTAGTCATATGATTCCTAGCCCAGGAGGAAAATTTCACCAAGTCAGTCTAAATTTAAAGCCAGTAACAGGAACAAATTCAGAATATAAGTAAGTGGCCTCAGAGTCACATGAGCTCTATGGAGACCTTTCAGTTTGTTTAAGACTGCATGAATATTACAAATAGCAGTATCACTTACCTTTCAGTGTGGCCTTCTTTAATACCTTCATGGCATAAAGCTGTCTAGCATCAGAGCCTGAGATTTTTTTAACTAAGAAAACCTGTATTTAAATAAGATAAAACAAATGTTACAAAGTACCAGAAACTATATAGCTTCTTATGAAATAAGACCCAAGCCATAATAAAATTTACGATTATACAGATTCTGATACATGGCAGATTAATTTCCCCAAAAATGTGTTGAGAGCCACAGTTTAGTCGGAATGACCTGGCATTTTGCTAGAGGGAATGGTTGAAAGGTGACTCTGCTCTGGGATTAGGGCGGCTCCAGGATTAGGGTGGATCCTGCTGGGATTAGGGTGGATCCTGCTGCCTAGGGCGCCTGCTACTTTGGAGTTCTCACGGGTTCCGGGAGAATTGGCGCGCGGAGCCCGGAGCCCGGTGGAGGGAGTGTGTTCCTGGGAAGTGTGTGTAGAGTGCCGGTGAGAGTTCGGGAATAAAGAATTGCTGTTTGAACCTACAAGGCTTGGTGGCGGCTCGGTTATTTTGTGCCCAGCCAGACTGCGGCAAAAATGTATTAATTATACATAGGAGTTGTAAACTGTGGATATAACCTAGGATATAAATGTAAATGAACATATTTTTTCATTTGTTGTTTGCTGGTTCCCAAAGAGCATGTAATACATTAATACAGGAAAAAAGCCTTTAAATCATGTATGTAGCAATTATAGAAGTTACACATTTTAAATGCATAATACAGGTAATGATGGCTCTGTATTTATTTATTTTTTTGGTACGGGGGTTGAACTCAGGGTCTTGCCACCACTGAGCCACATCCCCAGCCCTATTTTGTACTGTATTTAGAGACAGGGCTCACTGAGTTGCCTAGCACCTCATTTTTGCTGAGGCTAGTTTTGAACTCACAATCCCGCCTCAGCCTCCCAAGCCACTGGGATTACAGATGTATGCCACTGTGCCTGGTTATGGCTCTGCTCTTAACAAAATAAAAATTCTTCTAATCCATAAAAAAATTTCTTTTCTGCTCTGGAAATTGAACCCAGGACTCCCATATACTAGGTAAGCACTCCATCATTGAGTTATATTCACAGCCTTGTGGAAAAAAAATTATTTGCAGTACTGGGGATGGAACATAGGGGTACTATACCACTCAGTTACATCCCCAACCCTTTTATTTCTTTTTAATTTTTTTTTGTGGTGCTGGGGATTGAACCCAGGGCCTTATTCATGCGAGGCAAGCCACTATACCAACTGAGCTATATTCCCAGCCCTCTTTTTTAATTTTTGAGACAGGTTCTTGCCGTTTCCCAGGGTAGCCACAAACTTGTTATCCTCCTGTTTGAGTCTCCTGAGTCACTGGGATTAAAGGCCTGTGCTACCACACCTGGCACATCAAAATTCATATATAGGGATTCCTCTTGACAATTTTGTTGATACAATTATTCACTGATGAAAGGTCTTTTCTGTATCTGAAAACAGCATATTAATCTCATTGCTGGGCAGAACAATTTAAAACACTAATACTGAAGAATCTTATTAACAAATATTTAATGTATCTCCACTCCCTACCTTTTTCTAAATCAAATTCTCACATATTCTAAAATTTGAGGAATACATTTCTCAGGTGTATTATTGAATACCTTTATTTTCCAAATTATTTTTGGTTATCATTTTTTTTAAATATTTTTTTTAATTGTAGATGGACAATACCTTCATTTCATTCGTTCATCTTTATGTGGTGCTGGGGATTAAACCCAGTGCCTCACTCATGCTAGGTAAGTACTTTATCACTGAGCCACAACCCCAACCCCATATTTTTGGTTATCTTTAAAACAGTGTGGGATTTATAAAAAATAGAGCCTGCTCTAAATAACTCACAGTCATGCTATAACACAGCTAATACTAGACTACCAATATCTATATCAGTATCTACTCATTTTGATCATTACATTCATGATCTTTAAAAAAAAAACATTTATTTTTTAGTTGTAGTTGGACACAATACCAATACCATTTATTTATTTATTTATTATGTGGTGCTGAAGATCGAACCCAGGGCCTCACATGGGCTAGGTAAGTGCTCTACAACTGAGCCACAACCCCAGCCCCATTCATGATCTTTTTGTTCCAAGCCTTTAAGTAGACCAACTAAATAGCCTGAATTACGTTACCCATTCCTTAACAGCTTTTTTTTTTTTTTGTATTACTGGGGATTGAACCGGGGCACTTCACCACTGAGCTACTTTCTCAGACAGTATTATTTTTAATTTTGAGACAGGGTCTCACTAAATTGCTGAGGCTGGCCTTGAACTTGCCATTCTCTTGCCTCAGTCACCCAGAGAGAAAAGTATTCTTAATCAAGGTGGTCTTAAGGTGGACTGCTGCTAAAATGTTAAAGGTAATCAGAAATTATTAATATTTTTGGACAGAAATAAATTCTAATTAGATTAGGATTTATCTGATATTTATTCATCTTAAGATTCTCTAATCAAGCACCTTTGTTCTAATCTATTAAAAAATTCTCTTTGTAGATTCCACCTTTATTCAACAGTATTTTGAAAGCACATTCTTAACACTTTTCAGCACTTCTTAGCTTGCAGAATACTCTCACAAGCATCTGTAATAATCACGACAATTTTGGGAGACAGGCCTACTAAACAATGTCTGTTTTATAGCTACCCAAATTAGGGCTTAGAGAAGTTAAACAATTTGCCTGGTGTCATAGTGCAAGTATTGGGACAAGATCTGGGTCAGCCATCCAGTCCCGGACTTCTGCTTAGGGTGCTCTTTATTTGTTCCCTTTGGCTGATGACCAGCCACACTAAGCATGAGCACCAACAGTCCCAGCTGACATCCAACCTTCTTCCACTAGAGTATTTCTGACCTTTCTCACTGCTCCATGAAGCTATTCTAGGCTCTGACAGGTCATCCTTGTTTCCTTGGCTTACATTGGCCTTTAAGGATGAGTAAGAAAGGAGACACCCTATTTTTAATGTTTTCTATTTATAGTAAGGTATTTAAGCTACTTCTAAAGAAAAAAGGGAGAAGCATGCTAATTCCTAGGAACTTAAATACTGTGTTCCCTAAAATCTACTCTATAAAATAAGCTCATCTATTGGGTTTATTGAGCAGCATGATAATATAATTTAATACCAGATATTATGTGTTTGACCTCATATCATTTAATTCTCACTACTATTCCATGAGGTCAGCACTATTACTCACTTGTTACTTCTTTCCAGAATTATGTGCTAGGTACTGTGCTATTGGTTCAATATATTACCCCTGCACTCATGGATTATATAGTCTAGTAGGGAAAATAGCCAATAAATAAATCATTATACAAAAGAAAAACTGCAATTGTGCTAATGATTCTGGGGCATATAATGATCTGAGAGGATATAATGGGAATATGACCTAGACAGGATGGCAGAGAAATCTTTGAGATCTTTGAGCTCACAAGCAGGAGAGGAGCTAACCAGTTAAGGAAGGAGTGGAAGGGGCAGGATGTTTCAGGCAGAGAATAAATGGAATAAGGAAAGGCTTTATATTGGGATGGAGTCACAGAGTGAAGAGCATATAAATGGATGTTCTAGAGATTGCTAGTGATCAGACTGAGGGATTCCTTACCCATCTTAAGATTTGTCCTTATCAAAACAAAAGGAGGCTACTGAAGGGTTAAGAGGGTAGAATGTAAGACTAGCTCATGCTAGCTGTCACATAAATAACAGACTGAGGCAAGAATAAATTTGGGAAGACCTAGTTAGAAGATTCCTTCAATAATAAACCAGGGAGAAGTAATAGTAGCATAATCTGGAGAGGTGAATGCCTCTCAGTGCAGAAGACTAGCATGATTTGAGAAATCTTTACTAAATCAACTGGACTTGGTGACAGATCAGATTGGCTAGGGTGTTATGTGTTTGTGTGCGTGCATGCATGCATGCGCTGTGTAGAGAGACTTGAAAGAGATATCAAAAATGACCCCCCAAATGCCTCCCAAGATTCTGGCTTGCTTAACTGGATGCTATTCATAGTGACAGAGAAAAATGAAACAGGATAGGTTTGAGGGTAGGGGAAGATCATGAGTTTGGTCTTAGACATGATGAGTTTAAAGTGCCTTTGAGACATGCGAATGGAAAAAGTAAGCAGCTGTACAGAAGAGTTTAGAACTTGGAAGAACAATTTAGGTTGAGGATATAAATCTATCATGTCAGCAGTATGTGGGTTACAATTAAGATAATGTAATAGAGAAAATCAATTAGTAGGAGCTACAGAGGAAATGGCAGCTTAAAATCAAAACTGGAGGAACTTCAATACTTAATGACTAGAAGAAGAAAATAGGATTCCAAGACGTCAAGTAACTTGCTCAAGAACACACAGTAAGTAGGAGAAAAAATACTGAATACAAGTCTGGCTGACCTAGAGCCTAAACCTGCAACCATTATGCTCTGATGGCTATTTAGTCAATATTTGGATTAAAAGCATGATTTGGGTTTGAAAGAGGTTAACAACTGTAACAAATTACCCATGTTTGCCAAGCACTGTTAAGCACTCTCGCTAAAATACACAAGAGAGCTAAACTGGTGCAGTTCTGAAGGTTGCTAACAAGACATTTTCAAATGTTTCCTTATAGAGAGGCAGTAAGAAATTATTGCACTGTGAAAATTGAATGCAATCTCAGAAATTTTCTCTTGCTGAAAACCAGTCTAGATAGATAGAGTAGCAGTACTTTTAATGCTACTTCTCAAAATGGAGTACAAAAAGTTCCCGTGCACTTAATAAAAGTTCCCGTGCACAGGGAACAAGAACTATTTGAGGAAAACTGATAAAGAATGCTGCATCTTCTGAAGTAATTATTTGTTGACTTTGGGAAGCACATTTTAGATATTAAAAAACAAAGATGTTGTGGCTCAGTGGTACAGTGCTCATCTATCATGTGTGAGGCACTGGATTTGATCCTCAGCATCACATAAAGATAAATAAATAAAGGTATTGTGTCCATCTACAACTAAAAATATTTTAAAAAAACAACAAAGATGTTATTGAATAGAATGCAAATTAACATTCAAATTTTAAATGCATTACCTTCCAACCTCAACACAAGTACTCAGATGCCAGTGTATCAAGGGAATATTTTGTGATTTTTAATCATTCAAGAAGCACAGCTAGGCTGGGTGTGGTGGCACATGCCTGTCATTCCAGTGGTTTGGGAGGCTGAGGCAGAAAGATCACAATTTCAAAGCCAGCCTCTGCGACTTAGCGAGACCCTGTCTCCAAATAAAAAATAAAAATAAAAACAAACAAACAACAACAAAAACAGGCTGGGGATGTGGCTCAGGGGATGTGGCACCCTTGGGTTCAATCCCTGGTACCAAAAACAAACAAACAAACAAAAAAAAACCATAAAAAACACAACTGAAGAATATATATATATATACTAAAGAGTATAAATACTGCCAATTAACTAAGGTTTGCACAGTGCTTTTTTAAATTAGTTCTTTTTAGTTATACATTCAACAGATGAATGGATAAAGAAAATTTGCTATATATACATAATGGAGTATTACTCAGCCATAGAGAATGACATTATGGCATTTGCCGGTAAATGGACAGAATTGTTGATTATCATGCTAAGTGAAATAAGCTAGTCCCAGAAAGTCTAAGGTCAAATATTTTCTCTGATATGCAATGTACTTTTGACTGACTTTATTCATTTTTCCACAATGATAGTAAGAAATGTAAAAACACAGAAAGCACTGCTGGCATGGAGACTGGTAGCATTTCATAAAATATTTCCATTTCTATATGTATGAAATATACATAAATTACAAAAGTCAACTTTTTAATCCCAAAATCTTTTGATTAAAATTTTCATTCAGTTCCTTATAATTTTTTAACCTAAACCTTACTTCTTTCTCCAAGGTGTGTATAACACACACACACTTTAATTGATACATAATAATTGTATATATTTAAGGGTATACTGTGATAACTGATACAAGTATATAATGTGTAATGATCAGGGTAATTAGCATTTCCCTTTCCTTAAACTTGTATATAATTTGTGTTGGGGAAGCTTCAAACTCTTTTCTAGTTCTTAATAAAATAATAACAAATTACTGGTAACTATAGTCTTATTCCCACTATGTAACTGTATTTGGTCCCTATTATCCAAACTCCCTCTATTTCTCCCTATCCTTTCTAGCCTCTAGTGACCACTATTTTACTCTCTACTTCTATGAACTTTTTAAAAAGCACATATTTATAACTTACCTTTCCAAATGATCCCTGCCCTAATACTTTTAAAAGTTCAAACTGGGAAGGATCTGCTTTTTCATGTCCTTCCTTTACATGATGTGTGATGGCAATTTCCTTGATGCTGCCTTCTTCCTGTTGAAGTAAATATAATATAGAAAAAACAGTCAGTCCAAGCTACTTTTTTTTCCTCCCACCAGAAACCAAGTAATCTTAATTTAGCCCAACATTAGAAATCTTCAAGTTAACATACAAAAACTACCCTTTACTGATCTATGAAGTGAATAGAAAACACAGACCAAGCAAATATCTAGAGATAGAATTATACCAGTCAACTACATGGGCCAATTTAACATTAGTGATGAGTATTTCCAAGTTTTAATTCTCCCTAATGGAGATAATTCAAATAGTTGTAAGGCAGGGAAGAGGGTGAAGAAATCTGAAATGGATTGATTACAGTAAATATTGTACTCTGGCATGTGATTGTACTAGGCAGAACAAAGGCTATATACAAAAATCCCTGTTTACTAGAGAGAAGGGTTAAAAAATATTCCAGGGTAAACATGGATACCCTTAATAAAGTTGTTTAAGAAAGTACACTGAAGTTTTATTTGTTTGAAATATCTAAGTTACTTCCCTTTCTAGAATAAACTGGGGTCTGACGGGGATAAAGAAGTAACTCTAAACTGAAAAATTCGAAGAAAAGATTTAACAATTGGATGGAGGATTAGTCACTGAAAAAAAAAAAAGACTATTCTGCATAACAAAAGTCTTAAAATGTCTTTGGATTTTAAAAGACAGTCAACACTTCAGTATATCTAAGGAAAGGTATCAGAAAGGGAGAAGTGTACATTATAACAAAAATGACAACATAAAACCAAACCTAACAGAAACATAAGCCTGTCAAATAAAGGCTACCATATCTATTTGACTATAATCTTATTTTTTCTGGATCCATAAATACTATTAGAAGAATCTAAATGTGCTATACAAATAATTATTTTTATTACTATAGTATGCCAAACAAATGTTTGAGCTCAATTTACATTTATTCTTTCACTCCCCTCTCTTTGTTGGGGATTACATCCAGGGGTACTCCATCTATTGAACTATATCCCCAGACCTTTTTGTTTTTTATTTTGGGACAGAGTCTTGCTAAATTTCTTAAGGCCTTGATAAGTTGCTGAGGTTGGCCTTGAACTTGAGATGCTCCTGCCTCAACCTCCAGAGTCACTGGGATTACAGGCATGTGCCACTGCACCTGGCTTCTATTTACACTTTGAGATATCCATTGGATGTTGGCAATGTAAACAATTGCAAAGATTTCTCAAAAATACTAGGATATCCTAATGTGGCAGCTTCTGAAAATGAGTTCTAAAAGGAAAAAGCAGCTCCCAGAAGAGGATAAAAAGGAATCCAAACCTACTGTTTTACTTTCTAAGACAGAGGCTGTAGTTAGTAGGTTTTCCTACTACTTATGCAGCCTAACTAATCATTTTCGATTCCTCTGGAATTTATGTAACAACAACATCAAAAATCAATCTCCTAATATTGGGGGGTTTTTTTAACAGTTTTAAAAAAATATTTATTTATTTATTTTTTTTTGGTGTAGATGGACACAACACAATGCCATTATTTTTATGTGGTGCTGAGGATCAAACCTGGGTCCCGCCCCTGCTAGGCGAGCGCTCTACTACCACTGAGCCACAATCCCAGCCCTTGGTTTGGTTCTTTACTTTGTAATTTCACTTGCATTGTCTCCATTAATTCTCACAAAAAACCTACATAGCAGGTATTAGGGTAGAACCAAACATTAGCAGATTCTAAGATGCTACCATTTTTGTGGGCATTTTTCTCTTCATCAAAGTACAAGGGCTTAGAGTAATAGCTGTTAGCAGATATAATAGGAAAGACAGGAAGCAAATTACCAAATTAAAAAAAAAATCTTTCAAAGAACAATATATGTAGGATTGATTAAGTAAGATATAGATTGAAATCCAGCACATACTTAAGCACCTACCTCATGTCAAGCCTGTTTTAGGTGCTTTTTTTCATTTTTTAAGTCTCATTAATGCTTTACAACAAATATTTGACCACATATTAGTGGGTTTTTTTGACAGTTTTTTTTTATTGGTTGTTCAAAACATTACAAAGCTCATGATATATCATCTTTCATACATTTGACTCAATTGCGTTATGAACTCCCATTTTTACCCCAAATACAAATTGCAGAATCACATCGGTTACACACTCACATTTTTACATAATGGCATATTAGTGACTGTTGTATTCTGCTACTTTTCCTATCCCCTACTATCCCCCCTCCCCTCCCCTCCCATCTTCGCTCTCTACCTCATCTGCTGTTGTTCAATTCTCTCCCTTGTTTCCCCACCCCCTTTCTCCTCACAACCTCTTATATGTAATTTTGTGTACCATTGAGGGTCTCCTACCATTTCCATATGCTTTCCCTTCTCTCTCCCTTTCTCTCCCCCCACTCGTCTTTGTTTAATGTTAATCTTTTCCTCATGCTCTTCCTCCCTGTTCTGTTCTTAGTTGCTCTCTTTATATCAAAGAAGACATTTGGCATTTGTTTTTTAAGGATTGGCTAGCTTTGCTTAGCATAATCTGCTCTAATGCCATCCATTTCCCTGCAAATTCTATGATTTTGTCATTTTTTAGTGCTGCGTAATACTCCATTGTGTATAGATGCCACATTTTTTTAATCCATTCGTCTATTGAAGGGCATCTAGGTTGGTTCCACAGTCTAGCTATTGTGAATAAACAATAAACAATAAACAAGAATAAACAAATGGGACTTACTTAAACTAAGAAGTTTTTTCTCAGCAAGAGAAACAATAAGAGAGATAAATAGAGAGCCTACATCCTGGGAACAAATTTTTACCCCTCACACTTCAGATAGAGCCCTAATATCCAGAATATACAAAGAACTCAAAAAATTAAACAATAAGATAACAAATAACCCAATCAACAAATGGGCCAAGGACCTGAACAGACACTTCACAGAGGAGGACATACAATCAATCAACAAGTACATGAAAAAATGCTCACCATCTCTAGCAGTCAGAGAAATGCAAATCAAAACCACCCTAAGATATCATCTCATTCCAGTAAGATTGGCAGCCATTATGAAGTCAAACAACAATAAGTGTTGGTGAGGATGTGGGGAAAAGGGTACACTAGTACACTGCTGGTGGGTCTGCAAATTGGTGAGGCCAATTTGGAAAGCAGTATGGAGATTCCTGGGAAAGCTGGGAATGGATCCACCATTTGACCCAGCTATCGCCCTTCTCGGACTATTCCCTGAGGATCTTAAAAGAGCGTACTATAGGGATACTGCCACATCAATGATCATAGCGGCACAATTCACATATTAGTGTTTTTAAAAAAATATTTTTGTTGATGTACCTTTATTTATTTATTTATTTATATGTGGTGCGGAGGATCGAACCCAGTGCCTTACACATGCTAGGCAAATGCTCTGCCACTGAGCTACAACCCCAGCCCCTCATATTAATGTTTTTGAGGGCTGATAACAAAGCAAGCAAAAACATTTCAGAATTCTCTACGTACTCTCCTATTTACCACTAGAAATTTTATCAAGATCTTTGAAAGGCATAATGGTTGAATACTCCATAGTCTGCAGTTTAAAGAGATTAAGTGAGGTCTAAAGATCATAAGCCAGGAAGTGTCACACTAAAGGCTCAAGTTCAGGTCTTCTGACTTCAAAAACAAGGCCCTTATCATTACACCACTCTGAGACTCTCTGAAGCTTTTGGTGGTTTACCATCCCAAGATCAATGACAGGAACCTATAGACTTATACCCCTGGTCTTTGTAACTAGCCAATTATCTCTTGGTTTAGTTATCTCAGTTGCTTAAAGAAGTGGTGTTTGAACATTTGACAGCACATTCATAGTACAAAATACTAGCATAATCCAATATTTGAATAATTAGTGGTTTATAAATTATATACATGTAAAGAAGTTCTTTCTTTTCTCTACCCAGAAATATTATTACAATATTAATACAATATTATTGTATTACATTTTACATACTTGACTCATGAGCCAAGTTCATGGGCTGGATTCCAGCATGTGACACTTAGCCTCCAATGATAAAAACAACAACAAAAACAAAAACTATCCAAGAGCTTAACTGGAATACAGCAACCATTTATGCCCATAAATTAGAAGGGCATGAAGAACTATACTCTGTAACATTTCATGTTTTACCCCTTTTCTTTCTTGGGAAAGTGGGATGCAATTTATCAGGTCACAATATTTTTTCACTTGATATATTGTAGCAAATGCCTATCACAATCGTCTTCACAAATAAAGATGCAACACCTGTAAGAAGGAATAACTCCTGAATTATGAACATTCTGCATATTGTAGCAGTCATACAGGATCAAGGTAGTGTGAGCTGCTATCAAGCTGTGAGTCTCAAAATAAAGAGCAGTTACTACTCTCATCTTTAATGACTACCCTTTCTTTCCTCCCATGTAAAATAAATTACTAAAAAATGTACTCTTCCTTTGATCCCTTCATTCAATAAACATATATTGAAATACCAACTATGTATCAAGCATGGTACTGGGGATACATTTTCTTAATTATTTTTCTATTTCCAATAGTATCATCCATGTATAAGCCTTTCAATATCTTTCATGTAGAAATCTGAAACTAGTGTGATAAATCATTAATACCCCTTTTATGCCTGTGTCCACTCCAGTACATCTTCTTGACAAATTCATTTTCTAAAAGTATACAGCTCCAGTCATGTGAACAGGTTACTCAAAAATTCCTCCAATTTTCCCACATTAAAAGCACTGCTTCATGTGGCATAAAAGGCCTTCTATAATATAGTGTCAATCTACTTCTCTGGTATTATCTTTCAACATTCCTTACATATAGCCTTTTGTCAACCTGAGTTATTTCCTGTTCCTTAAACTTTGTTTTTAAATTGAAAACAATACGTCCACATAGGCAACAGATCAAAAAGTGGCAGAATAGCTTAGGATAAAAAGCATCCTCTTTGCCTAGATTCTCAAAACAATTAATATGGCATTTACTTTGATAATTCATTAATTTATTAACCTTAAGACAATGTCTATTAACTTAAAAATGAGAAAAATTTAAGGTTCATTTTCATTATGTCCCATCCTCTCATCATCTTCCTCCCCATTGTTAAGATAGTAACTTCTGGGCACTGTGGCACATGCCTACAATCCCAGAGGCTCGGGAGGCTGAGGCAGGAGGATCGTGAGTTCAAAGCCAGCCTCAGCAACTAAGTGAGGCCCTCAACAATCTAGTGAGATCCTGCTTCAAAAATAAAAATTAAAAAAGGGTTAGAGATGTGTCTCAGTGATGGCGTGCCCCTGTGTTCAATCTTCCCCCTCCCAAAAAAAAGTTATATTAATTTCACATAAACTTCTTACTTTTTCTCCTAGTTTTGGATAGAATCCTAATTCCTCACTTTTTAAAAGGAAGTTAACAGTGCTCATTCTTTCTCCAATTTCCCCCACCTGCTGCTAACTATATTTTTTACATTTTTATTAATATTAAGGCTATTAAGAAAATGAATGTTCTCTTCTGCAAGTGCAACTAATACTTCATGCTCTTGCCACAGCCTGATTCTGAATTCAAAAGCCTATAGGGACATCCATACTACCATAATAATACATTGTTCAACTGTAGGCTAAGTAATATATTAAATTTCCTTTTATCTGGGCCCATAGCAATGATTCCCAGGTCAATCAAAGGAGACTTAAACAATAACACTCCATCAATGCTTAAATTCATGATAAATTTTACTTTCTTATTTGGACCCTGAATTTCTTATAAGCAGTTTTCTACTTTTCCTGTTTCTAATAGGTCCTCTAACATTCTTGAGTGGAGAGAGAAGTTAATTATTTTTAATTTTTAGCCCTTAACCATACTACTGCCCAGTCTTCTCAGAGACCTTTCCTATACTGGAGACCTTCCTTACCCTCCCACCAGGATGGGCGGGGTTCTTCCAGGCCTGCTACATAGCAGTGTTTTTCTGGCTGAATGAACTATTTGCAATTTCCTATTAAAAATATCCCCTTATAATTTCCTAAGAATGATGGTGTGGAAGAAAACTTTCTGAACTGTGCATATCTATAAATGTCTTTGTCTTCATATATGTATAGTTTGGCTTGGTATCAAAATTTAAAATAAAAATAATCTTGCCTCAAAACTTTGATGCCACTGGTCTACTGCTTTCTAGTACACAGTGCTGCCATGAAATAAATGGATGTGAACCTGGTCACACTTTTGGGGGAGGTGACCTGGTTTTCTTTTTGGAAGCTTAAGGATTTCTCTGTCCTTGTTTTTTCTGAAAGTCCATGATTTGAGATAAATAAGGGTCTTCTTTTCTTAAGAATGCTAGATGTTTGGTGAATTTTTATCATATAAAGAGTTAAATTCTTTACCTCTGAAGAATTCTAACACTTCTTTGATAATTTCCTTCCATTCATTCTTGAGGGCTTCTCTTTTTTGAGACTCCTCTATTAGTTGAATATTGTTTTATGTCTAGAATTGAACCCTTTATGCTTCTTATCTTTTTTTCTCCTGTTTTATGTCTCCAGTTTAATGGAGATTTCATTGACTTGACCTTTCAGAATACAAACTAGAATAATGTATATTTATATGTGTATGTATATGTTTATGTGTGTTTATACATAAATACTAGGGATTGAACCCAGGGGTGCTTTACCACTGAGGTACATCCCCAGACACTTTATTTCTTATTGAGACAGGGTCTCATTAAGTTGCTGAGGCTGGCCTCAGCCTCCTGAGTTACTGGGATTACTGGTATGCACCACCTTGCCCAGAAAAAAATATTTATCTCTAAATTGGGGCACAAAGAGTACAGAAAATTTTTCTGCAGATGGAAAGGAAAGATCAATGCCTATGGCAAGTTTGACAATGGCTGATTTCCAAAAAATTGCCACTGTTTTGACTATGTTTCCCATTCCAAATTTAAATTTTATAAGACATAAATTCTTACTACTCATATCAGCACACTTTTTCTAGCTACTTTTATATATATGCAAAGCTGAAGTTGTATAATAGGCAAAATATTCTTGGTTGATCTCTCAATGCCCAGGTTGTACTTAATGCTACCAACTCATGGGGCCATGGATATTTCTGAAATGATCTACAGTTCAACTAGGTCATAAACTAATGTTCGGGCAATCTTGGGCAACAGGTTATAAAGCAACGATGTATTCTTCTAGCTTATACCATGATTCAGAGAGGAGTATCAAATAAGGCACCAATAAACCTAGAACAGACTGACATGTGCATGTGAAAAACACATCTTATGTTACTAAACTACCTGTTACTGAACTAAATCACACAAAAATATAAAACTACAGTCCAATGGTTTGTGAAACTGCAGTTTTGCCTACCTGTCCATTTGTTACCATTAAAAACATTACTTTGTGCATTTAAAACAGTTATAAATTCTATGTAGTAATTTTTTTACAAAGTATATGTTTATTTGATGAGCAAAGTTCTAACTGTAAGTAAAATGTTGAGGCTGGCAGTGAATCTACATAATCCTGTATTATTCTTCTATACTTCCCTCTGTTAAAGACATTTGTCACCCACAGCTTAAATAGTCTTTAAGGTTCACCTTTTAAATGGAGGGAAAAAAATAACCTAATATTTCCTTTTCAAGTTGTGAGGGAAAATTATAATTGATCCTAAAATGTAAAAAGGATTAAAGAAAAGAAACTGAAATTAATGATGTCTGTTTGAGTTATAAATATACTAATATTGTAACATGCTAACATTAAGGAAACAAACTGGGTGACATTAACTGATTTTAAAAAATGATTCAACATTTGGCATCATGCCCTGCCTTGTATACATAATTTCCTTTTTCCTCCCCTCCCTTGAGTCAGGAAGTATGTTCTTGAGGCATTTGTATTTTCTAAATTGTTTTGAATGCCAGAAAATATTATTAAAGATTGAAGTAAAATATTTAAATGTTCCTTGGTAAAAGTCAAGAAAAAAATCTTTTTCTAACATAAATATGTAACCATTTTTGGTATAACATAAAAATGACATTAAAAATGAAAAATGCATACTTTGCTCCTTAAAGTTAATTTCAAAGTAATGGAAGCATCAAGATCTCTATAGATACCTGTAATTCTATGATAGGCCTTTGAAAAAGGCAGGTTAACTTCCTTTTTAGATGATCAAGATAAAAATTTTTTGGTTTTAATATAAAATTAGGCTGGTTAAAGACATGGTAAGAGCACATTTTAATTTATTCTAGATTATAATTTGATCAAATTCATTTTACTTCATCTGCTAATGGAATGATAAGCGTGCTTAGCATTTTTTATTTAACAAAATTCTTTAACAGAGTGTTATAAGCCAGCTTCTTACATGTTTGGGAAAAAAATATTGCTGGTTCTCCAGACTTACATTCTCAATCAGTGCCATGAGGAGCAGTTTTCTCCCAACTGAGAATCCCAATCAGCAAATTTAATGTTTTTTTTAAAGAGCAGCAGAATAGCACAATTCTCATGGCAAAATATCAAGTTGATTTTGACAGAATTTTAGATTTTAATACAATGCAAATTACTATCCACTAAGCCCATTTTAACAAAGTAATTGTTTGAAAATTGTGTCTACTTTTAGTCAGATAAAATTACTTGCTTAAGGTTACTTCAATGTGGAGCTTAACTTTCAAGTTTTTACAAGAATGAATTTCAACAAAAAACTGATTTTAAGTTCTTAGCTGCTTAAAATAGCACTCTCCTATCTGCCAAAATATTCCTTACATAATAATAATAATCTCCTACATATTAGTAAATTTGTAATTCTGTTCATTACTGGTTTAAAAATGAGAATTAAGTCATTTGTTTTATTAAACAAAATTACAAAAACCAGCAAGATAAAAATTATTCCAGCACAAAAAGCCAATGTGAAAATAAGTTGCCAAAATACATCAAGTTGAAATGTATTATACAATTGGCTTAGTTTTACTTAAAAAATATTATTAAGTTCTATCAACACTGGTTTTGAATTCTGAAGTTTCTTAAAAGAGCATATAAAATAACTATTTAATTAGCACAATTAGTTAGCTCAACTAAAACATTTTATTTTTTTTAAAGAAGTTGAACAAAGCTTACCTGTATAGAACGAACACGAAAAGACAAAAATTTGAACATGGCTACGAAACCATGTTGGTGATAAAGGAATTTCTGACGGTAAAACTTAAGTTAGAAAGGGAAGGCCAAGCCCCTGCAAAGTTTTCTCCTACCAGCTGTTCCGGCAATTAGAAAATTTCCTGTCAGGCGGGTCCTGAAAATGCTAGAAAAAGAGGCTGTACAGTTTTCCTGTGGTAAAAGAAAGAAAGAAACCTGCCGGCAGGGGGACTAATGTAGCTGATAGGTAGGGAGGCCAGAACAGGAAACCCAAATAGATTTGCTGATAGTCAAACCCTGTTGAAATGTTCTTTTCTTCTCATTCCTAGCAGTGCAGACAATTTTCATAACCAGTAAAATGAATGTTATTATTTTAGAATCCTGAGAAATGCCAGTATTTCTTAACTATATGACTCTTAAAAGCAACTGAAACTAGTCACCACTATTAAAATAATAAAAGTCGCTGATGCGCATGTGGAATTTTACCCTTTGTAAAGTTTATACACATACTCAAGACATGGCCTCAAGATGATTTTAAGGTTATATATAGACATGTCATGGGTGTTCCCTGTCAATAAGGAAGAGCTTTATAACTATGGGTAGGAAATGAAGACCACATGCAAAAATATTTAATTGTGATTTAAGTATAAATTCTTCCCATCTTAAATGAAAAAAAAAATATTTAAATTTACATTGGTTATAAACATCACTTATCAACCAAGTTAAAGACTTGAAGGATCATAGCTAAAACTCAATTTCCAGCTAACAAATCTTTCTTTTTCTTAAAAAGCTGATTCCTGTTATTAGTGAGAAAAAAGGAACACTTTGAAAGAAGTTTGAAAAAAAGAAGTCAACTTTGCATTTCATCCTTTAATTATAGAAGTTCTTCAAAGATATTTTCACCTTAGAAAAATATTTTCTTTAGTTGTAGATGGACACAATACCATTATTTATTTATTTTTTATGTGGTGCTGAGGATTGAACCCAGTGCCTCACACACGCCAGATGAGTGCTTTACAACTGAGCCACAACCCCAGCCAGAAAAATATTTTCTAAAGTCTGTTAATACCTAGAACATGATCATTACAAATAAAACACTAACTAAACATGGCACTAAAACAAAACAGCCCAAGGAACAGCACTTTAAGAGCGGCGGGGAAATGTTTTATTTAATGTAGAACCAACAAAAGGTGTTAATATACATAGCCTATGAGAATTCAATAAAGCCACTGAATTTTCAAAACCTGAAGAGACTGGAGAACACCAAGAACATGGGACTGAGGGTGTAGTTTTGTGGTATAGCATTTGTTCAGCATGAATGAGGCAGTGGGTTTGATCCACAGTACCCAAAACAAAACACCACACCAAAACTAAACAAATATTAAGGATAATCAGCTCACTTTATGAATGACGAAACTATCGTCCGATCTATAGCTGGAGCTCCATTCAGCACATTGATGGAGAAAACACTAAAGTGCCCATTATGTGCTATGGGTATTATATGAGAAGCCAGGGCTTTTCTTTTTCATTTTTGATATTGGGGATTGAAGCCAGGGGCACTCAACCACTGAGCCACATCTCCATCTTATTTTGTATTTTATTTAGAGACAGGGTCTCACTGAGTTGCTTAGCACCTCACTTTTGCTGAGGCTGGCTTTGAGACTCGTGATCATCCTGTCTCAGCCTCCCTAGCTGCTGGGATTACAGGCGTGCACCATCACGCCTGGCCAGGGCTTTTCTTGTTAAATAAAATCTTTATGGTGATTAAAAAAAAAAACCTGATCAACTAAAAATTATCCTATGTAATCAAAACATTAGAATCAACTTAAGTAAGTATCCAGGACAATTAATTCTTCCTGGACAATTGTGCACTACTCAGTTAAAAATGCACGCCTTGGACTGGGGTTATGGATCAGTGGTAGAGGGCTTGCCTAGCATGTGTGAGGCACTGAGTTTGAGTCTCAGCACCACATAAAAAATAAAGGTATTGTGTCCATCTACAACTAAAAAAAATTTTAAAATGCATGCCTCAATTTTTCAGCAAAGCACACAGTTTTTCATGAAAACAGAATTCTCCCATCTCTCAAAGGAATTACTAAAGCCTCCTTCTGATGCTCCAAAAGGGCAGCAAGGTTAGGACAACTACCTAATACATAACTTCAGTCTAAACATGAAGTGATTCTTAAGACTAAGTTAGGAATATGAAAATATCATGTTTTATATAATCAATTAAGGGGAGTATCTGTAAAGAGCAGTCATCAACTTTATTCAAGTCTGAAGAGGGGCAACCAAATAATACTTTTTAAAGAATTAGTTGAAATTGGCTTTAATTATGACTAATGCTCAGGTTAATAATTCATTTTGCTGTGTGTGCTTTTTTAACATTAGTCCTAAGAAAATGAAGCAATATTTCAGTTGCCATAACCTTAAGTCTCCCTAAACTGAAACAATATCTTAATTAAAAACTGTGATATTGCTGTATAAGACAAAAAGACAGGTTGGGGTTGCAGCTCAGAGGTAGAGCACTTGCCTAGCATGTGTGAGGCCCTGGGTTCAATCCTCAGCACCACATAAAGTAAAATAAAGAAACAAAATAAAGGTATTGTGTCCAACTATAACTAAAAAATAAAATATTAAAAAAAGACAAAAAGACAGAAAATAGTAAATGGTATTTTACATCATAGGGAGATGTTAGGATATACAGCTACCTGTCTGGAAAATGCAGAGAGAGCATAAAGAGAGCATAAAGGAAAGTAATACAGATCTGATTTAAAAATTTAAAAAACTTCATCACATTATAACTTATCACAGACCAACTGCTATAATTGGGTACAATTTACCTCCTAACTTAACATGAGCTCTGAAAATTTATTTGGTGCATCTCTTATGGGATTTGTTACTGTTTAAGCATATCCTACTCCCTGACCAGATTACTCTTGAGAATAGGCATCATACTTATTTCAGTATTCACAAAGTAGATAGTAAGAACTCAAATAATGTCTGCCTGAATAAATCATATGCTAAAATGTGAAATGGAAGCTACTTTGTGTGGTTGTGCACATAAAACAAGATATTATTTATACTTTTTTCTACCTCTAAACTAAATTTCTTAGAACTTATCTTTTTACGTTTCAGCTAATTTTCTTCATTTTTTTTCTATAGATTTTATCATTTACCTTTAAAGTAATATATGTCCATTATAGAAACAATAAGGATAAACAAAAAAGGATAAAAATAAAAGGAAAATATTCCCATCTGAGGTTCTCTCTAGTCTTTTTTTTATATGATTTTTGGGATCATCCTATACATATTATCACTTCTGTAAAGGGTGAGGTAGTAAATATTTTCAGCTTTGCAGGACATATGGTTTCTATGAACTCTGTCAATGCAGTGGGAAAACAATTTGGTGAGGTTGTGTTTTAATAAAGCTTCACTTACAAACACAGTTGGCAACTGGGGCATGGTGGTGTATGCCTGAAATCCCAGTGATTCAGGAGGCTGAGAGAGGAGGATCACAAGCTTGAGGCTAGCTTCTGTAACTCAGTGAGACTCTATCTCAAAATTAAAAGTAAAAAAGGGCTTGAGATGTAGCTCAGTAGTACAGTGCCCCTGGATTCAAGCTCCAGTATCAGAGTAAGAAATAAACCAGGTGGTAGACCAATGGGTATAGTTTGCTGACCTCTGTTCTATTATTAAATAAATTTCAATGCATTATTAAAACTGCCAAATACTACTACAGAATTCTGTTGGACATATGACCTTCTAAAACATTGTGATGTCCCATCTTTAGTGTACATCCATACTTATAATTTCTCCAGAGCAACCCTTTCTCTTGTCAGCATCCAGAAAAATCTTAAAACACAAATTAGACCAGATTATGCCCCTACTTCAAATTCTTTATGGCTTTCTATCATAGAAAAAGAACCCAAACTTCTCAGTCTGAAGTTTTAAGTAACCACTAACAAATGTTTTGTTGGTCCTGACTTAAGGAAAATACTCATGAAAGCATTCAGATGATATAAATACTTATAAATATAAAAGATATAAAAGAATAAATGTTCAGTTTTATAACTGTTTTTATCTATTACTATGGTCACCTATTTTTTCCTCCTTTAACCTACTGATTTGACAACTTACATGAATATACATTTCCTAATATTGACCTATACTTGTATTTCTGGAAAAAATCCATTGTTTTAATATAATTCTGTACTTTATTTATAATATAAGTATTTATATTTGTAAATATTAAGATTTTTGCAGTTTTACTCATTAATGGAGTTAGTGCACGGTTTCCTTTTCTGTGCTAACATTCAATTTCAAAGCTATACTAACTTTATAAAACAAACTAGATGCAATGCAAATTTTGTTTGTTGGGGAGTCAACTTAAAACCACAGGAGTGATCTATTTCTTGAAAGTTTACAAGGTTTCTAGTGATTTAAATTTCTCCCATGGTCATTGGTATAGTCAGTTTTTCTTGCCATTCTCAAATGAAATAATTTAAATTTTCCTTAAAAACCATATATTTCAAGCTGTGCATGGCGGCACACTCCTATAATCCCAGCTGCTCTGGAGGCTGAGGCAGCTTGGGCAGCTTGGGCAATTTAGGGAGACTCTGTCTCAAAATTTAAAAAAATTAAAAAGGCTGTGGATGTAGCTCAGTGGTAGAGCACCCCTTGGTTCAATCCCTAGTACCACAAAACAAACAGAACAAAAAAACCCCTCAAACCCCAAATAACCCAATCCCCCAGAAAAACACAACCACATATTTCAGCAAGACTTTCACATTAGTATACTGTTACACTTGTTATTTAGTTTTTGAAACTGATCTTCAGGAAGATTTCAAGCATACCCAAAAGTAGACAGACTAGTTTAACAATCCCTCGTGTGTCCAACATTCAGCTTTTATAACTTTCAACTCATGACCAATCTTTTCATATACTCACTTCCCTCTATTCTCATAATTATTTTGAAGCAAACACCAGACATTATATCATTTCATCTGTAAATATTTCAGTTGTTATGATGTTTTAATCTCCTTCCTATCTGTGGTTATATCCTGTTTTGCTTTCCTAATGTGGTACATTTGCTTCCCCCTCCCGCCACGCTGTTTTCTAATTAACTGATTTGGAATTTATATTGAACTTCTTCCTTTTGCTTTTTATAGGTTTACTTTGTAGTTTTTTTCTTTTGCTTTTTTTCAGAGTTCTTAATTACTTTATTTGAATTAATGAAGTTTTCTTTCAAAGAATAACTATCATATTAAGATAGTACTATATTCTAGGTACCATGTTTTACATGAAATTCTCTGTTAATTTCCACTATAGTAAGGAAGTACTATTATCCATACTACAAATGAAGATAATGAGGCTTAGAAAGAAGATAAATAGCCTGCTGCACAAGTCTTTACAGATTAGAAGAGGAAGTGGTATGATATTGGTAGAAATATAACCAAGCAATTCAATCTGAAGGAGAGTTCATGTGAATAGTCAGTAGCTGGCAAAATACCAGGAGGTGCTCAATCTTTTGATAAGATCCTGTAGCAAGAGGATTCAGTAAAATGTCTATAGCAGAGTTCCTAAAAAACTTTCTGCAATATGTACTTGTTGGTAGGACCCTAACCACAGTTAAATGCAACTATTAATCATCTTCATGACCCTGTGACAGCTGAATCCTTTTGGAGAAAAGAATCATCTCCCACAATAGAAAATTAAAATTGACATGTTCTTTAATTTGTTTTCAGTGTTGGGGATGAACC